TAACTATGACTCAAAATCCAGAATCATAAAAAAGGTTTTAGCAATTACACTACATATATAAATGTCTATATAGGGAAAAAAATGAGCAAAGTCAAACAGAAAAATGACCACCTCAAAAAAAAAAAATCACAGAATAGTGAATCTCTCTAGCTCTTATGCATTGATAAAAAGACAGGTAAGCCAACTGAAAATAAAAATGGGCAAAGAATATGAACAGAGAGAAAAGGAAATGGACCAAAACCAAAAAAGGTACTCAAACATGCTCATTAAGAGCAAATACAAAATAAAACTGCACTGAAATGCAATTTCTCACCTAATAGGCTGACAAAAATCTGAAAGTTTGACACAAGTATTGTTGGTGAGGCACTTTCAGGAATTATACACTGGTAAACTCTTCTGGAATAGCTAGTGAAATACACACTAACGTAGCAATCATAATTGGGCCTATATTTACACACGCACAAAATTAAGTGTGCATAAATTAGTTCCTGCAGCATTGTTTACACTAGCGAAAGACTAAAGAACAACCCAAATGCCCATCCATAGGGAACCGAAGAAATAAATCATAGCATATCCACAGAATGGACTATTACCTGGCCATAAAGTACAGACTCAACCCATTGGTCTAGATTTGAATCCTGGCTCATATACTTACTAATTATATGACCTTGGACAAGTTATTTAACCTTTCTATGACTTAATTTCTATTTAACGGGAATAACAACAGTACCTCCAAACAGGGTTGTTAGGAGGAGTAAGTTAGGTCATATTTGTAAAGTATTTAGAATAATGCTTGGCATTTACAAAACATATCTAAATAGAAAAGATTCCTAAAATACGTTATGAGTAAAAAGTAATATAAGAACACTTCCTATGTTTACAATTTTTATATATTTGAAAAGGAGGGGATAAGAATATATAGTTGTATTTGTAACTCTAGAAGAGTATTACAAGAAACTAAACATCAGTGGAGGCAACTGGGGAGACTGAGGATGTCAGGTATGAGAGACAGACTTTATATTTTTCACTGCAAACTTCAACTTTAAAAAAAAATTTGTTCATATATAACCCATTCAAAACATTTAATAGCAAAAATTTTCTGAGGGCAATCTAGAATTTTATACGTAGTCATATTATCAATAAGGTATGAAAGTAGAATAAAGACATTTTCAGACTTGCAAGGATGCAAAAAACTCACCTTTCTCAGGAAGCTACAGGAAGATGTGCTCCAATAAATCAAAAGTATAAACCAAGGAAAAAAGCAAGAAACAGGATATCCAACACAAAAGAGAAACAATGAGAATTCTCAGGATAATAGTGAAGGGAGGCTCCAGTGCTAAAGTGTGAGTGTGTGCAGGCTTAAAGTGCGAGCAGCCCAGATAGCAACAGAAGGGCAGAGGCTCCAGGGGCGATTTCTCTAAGGGGGAGAAAAAAAAGGAACTGATAGGTTACCTATTTTTGACCATATGGAGAAGTGTTTTATAACTCTGGCACAGAGTTTGGAATGAACTGGTGGTAAATATTTTTCATCTACTTTATTTTCTATATAATTATTAACTCCGGGAAAACAAAACTCAAAATACTATACAGAAGAAAGAAATTTAATCATGCTTTACTATGTGGTGCAGCTGTGAGCAGTATTTATCTACTCATAATAATGTCAACACTGAATACAGATTTACCTC